TTCAAGAACCCAAGCATCGCTTCTTTTAGTTTTGGCTGCACTTTATCCACCAACAAATCAATTGAAATGGAATAACAAATTGGATTGGCTTCCTATTCCGATACATTCCAATCCTAGGCGTCTAGATATTCTGATAAAATCTCGAATTTGTCCTACGTAAATGTGCAATTTGTTATTATATACTGTAATTGCTTATGACGCTTAAAATTCATTTCATTTATCAGTTTTGGACAAGCACTGCATCAATTGTTGAGCACTAAGGAGATGTTGAGTTTGCTCGAAAAGCACCGCCCAGTCATTGAAAAAATGAGGGAAGTTTATTGGAAATCATTCAACCTGCGCGATATCTTTTGTGCTTACAATGCAATAAAAGTACACGTAAGTAAAGTGAGCGATAAATCATAACAATAAATAGCTTATTTGTGATAAATAACTTTTTTTTTAGAAAGAAATGAATTTACCAATGCCAAGTTGGTATACGGACGAGTTATATTCTGATTTGAACGAAGCGAAAGAGTTTTATCTGAATGCTTTGTCTTACACTGATATTTTGAAAAAATTAAACGGTGGGCCTATAGTCAGAAGGTTTTTGAAAAATATGAACGACACGCATTGGAAAACCAATAAAAGGAAAATCTATCTGTACAGTGCTCACGATAAAACTCTTCATGCTTTTCTGAAAGTACATGATGTATTGGATGTGAAACAGCCCAAATATGGAGCTACAATAATTTTAGAAAAATATCGCGGGGAACAGAATCAAAGTTACGTTAGAGTAAGTATAATTATGGCTGATTCAAAGTGGACACTAGATTCATTAACAATTTTTTTACTTTTGCAGTTCTTGTATTGGCCTTGCGGATCACAAGAAATCGAAACCATTACATTAAAAACCTGCACGGAAATGTGTCCTTTTAAAAATTATGTAGAAATCATAAAACCACATTTGCCATCCGATGATGATATGCTTTGTTTGTATAAAAATATTCAACCAGAGATAATGGAAGGAATAATTAATCCAGATACAACAATCGCTGGAGTAAATAAGAACTATGTGGTTTAAACGAATAAACGATATAAGATTTTAAAAAAATTTTTTACTTTCATAATTACAAAATTCATTCTCTAATACAATAACATATTACGCAAACTGTCTTCAATGTCGAGCTCATCGACTATTTGTTTGATAATACCCGGGGCAATGGACATTTCTTGAATAATACCTCGAAGAGATCGCTTGTCGCAACTTTTGATATCATTGTCGATAGCAGTGACATTTTTTAAAACATTCTGAAACCTATCTAAAGAGCAATTCTTATTGCAGCCCGTCACATACATTTCTTCGAATAAATTTTCATTTGGCCTAGCTATACCTTTGTAATAAATAACCTAGAAAATTACATTGATTATATCGAATCAATCAGAATACTTAATGCACGAATAAATTGCGCGTTTTAAAAAATAAAACATATAAATTTTGTTTTTGACGTTTAAAAAGATGTGATCTTACCTTAACATAATATTTAGAGTTTACTTCATGAAGTTCGATTATAACAGCACTGGTATATTCAGGAACATGAGGATAATAAACGCCTAAGGCTTGAAGTACAGCTACCACGTTAGTTTCATGTCCACTGTACAGGAAAATCTTACGATTCCGATCAAGTTTACCATTGCTGTAGGTGACCATATCATCAATGAATTTTCGCAGTAGCATACCGCCGTTCATTCTTTTCATTTCGGTATTATAGTTGGAAATTTTATATTCTAGACTGATGCCATCTAACAATTTGCCATAAGGAAAAATGTTTTTAGTCCATTTAGGTAGAGGTAGGTCTAGAGAGTGTTCAGCCATCAGTGTGTGATACAAAAAGTACATGTCATTCGAGTGTGATATATTTTTTCCAGTGTTCGATGACAAATTTCGCATAAAACTCTCGAAAGAACGAAGTTTCACTTTGAACTCCGATGACGTTTCCACTTGTTCGCGTACTTTCAAATAGCTATCGACGATATGAACGTTTCATTGCTTTGAAATTCATTGATTCGCAGCAATAATGTCATTTATACTTTACTTACTTTGGACATTCTTCGGGAATCATGAGAATATCGTCCAATTTGGCAACAGTATCAATAGGTATTGGCTGCCAATCCAAGTCCAATTTCCATTTTTGCTGACGCTCAGGAGTATAAAGAGCAGCGAGAAGGAGTTGCAAGCTCATTTTCGTTCGAGCTATATCGGTACTGCGAGCTCTGATTTCCGCAGGAATGTAAACGTCTCCCAAAAAATATCCATAGCTTTTTCGAAGGTATTTGCCTAAGTTGTACTCTCGTAATTTGCCTGACTATTGACAATCGAATATATTTTATATTCGTCATTTTTTTTTTCATTTCGACCTCTTAAACTTACATTTGTAAGACCACCCAATCCCTCAGGCCAAAATGAGTTATTTACATAGGGATCTCGTGGGTAAAGTTCCAATCCATTGTTGTCGGGAGCTCGATCTCCATGTCTGAAGATCTAAAATAAAACATTATTTAATGAACTTGTAAACGAGACATTATTTTAGTCCGATCTATAAATAACACTTTTATTTGCATTTTGAATATCACAAGCTTACCACATTCAGCAATTTCAATTCAGCCATAGCATTTTTAATTGAATGAGTAATTATCACGAGAATTAAGGCTGTAAGTTTTATAAAATTTTCCATTATGACTTTTTAAGAATTTTTAAAATATATTTTCACATGGCACGAGTTTCCTGTCTAGTAACCGTAATAGTAAAACTTAAAACTATAAATACTGAAATAATATCCGTATATTTCGTTATCTAGCATATTAGTTCGCTTATTATCAATTCCAATTTTAAAAACCGGTAAACATTTTTTTTATTTATTGTACTTTCCGGCCTGACTACCGAAAATACAGGCAGAGTTAACTTAGGGAAAGATGTCGATATCATCATTGGAGTGAATACACGTGCCAAATTAATTGCTATCTATCATATTTATTCATGGTTACACTAATATTAATTGTATATACATATCTACACTTGTATCAATGCCTCGAGAATATTCTTTTGATTACATAATTTATATGATATGCATTATATAATTATAATAAATTAATCACATTGAGTACTTTTTGATTTTTTTAATTTAGGCAGTAATAGAGAAAAAATTTTTTTGTTTAAGAAATTAATACTTTAAGAATGTAAAATTTTAGTTTTTTTCAAATGATTATAAAATTGAAAAGCAACAATAAACTATGGAGTTGTACGCAAAAAGTCAATTGTTATCGTTTCAATAATTTATAATATAAATATAGTAATACATAATGCGTTGATACTTCATGAAGAAGTTGTTATGTATGCTTTATTATCTATTTTTTAGTTTTCGTTTGATAAATTTTTTGTTTCTACGTAAAACTTTTAGTTGATTGGATAATCTATTGAAAATTTTAATAGCAATAACGTAAATACTGTTTTTATACATCGTTTTAGTTATTTTAGGTATATAAATATTTTTGAATCTTCTTTCATTATTAGAGTTAATATATTTTAAACTTAGTTCATCATAATGACAACATAAAGATTCTAGTGCATAATTTTGATCCAGTCAGAGTAGATAATTTTAAATTATAAATTTCTTTTTAGCAATCATTTTTAAAAGTTTGTTTTGCAAGGTTCGAAGTAGGGATAAAATACCTATTCCAGCATCTTCCCATACCTGGATTCCGTAATTCATAATAGCGCAAAAATATGCATAATATATTTGGAGCAGTATTTTTACTAATTTATAAAATAGAAATACAAAATATTTAGGTTTGCAAACAATATAGTTAATATGATTATAATCAAATATTACGACAATATACCTATTAATCTATACTTTTTTAATGCGATTATTATTGTCCGACGTAGTGGCATTGTAGGCAGGCGTAAAAAATGTAATCCAGTTCACACAATTAACGGACTACGGACTTTATTGTTAGAAGAATGTAGACTATAAAACGCGTGTCAACTCGACAAGAGCTCAAAAAGTAGTGCCGCGCAGGACACACTACGCGAGCGAAAGAGAGTGAAAGATACAGAGACCGGCGCATGCGCAATCTCTAATGTAGTGCGCGACGGTCTCCTAAGCGGGAGTCTCCGATAGGGTTCGATTCCTGATGGGTATCAATGGCTTTTTTCCAAAAGTGCACGTGCCAAGATTAACACTGTTGCTCTGGTGGTTCAAAGTCCACCTTAAGCTCGAGGTCCAGTATTCGGGTTGACACCCCAAAAAAATTAGAGTAATTTAGAGTTAAGATATTACCAAATTCACTGTATACCTATTTTACGAGCATGGAAAGACATTGAATGTGTCTTTAACTATGCAGTTAGAATGATAGCCAACTCACACATTTTACCACAGAATTTATTTAATAATTAAAATTTTTCTTATAATTCTCGACATAGGGGCTTATATCAAATACAAACGATATATATCACATATTTTATGATCATTCCTTTGTACTTTTATTACAACCTTTAAAATAAATAATTTAGTATTAATGGTCGAAAATGTAACTAATAAAACAATATTTATGAAAAAGTAAAACAAGATAATTAAAATTTCAAAGTTTCTTGACTCTCCTTCATTGCAGATTGCATTGAGTATTTGTTCAATGCATTAAAAAAATTATGTGTGTGTGCGCGTGTGTGCGTGTGCGCGTTAATATAAGGCACGTTTAGGGAGAGTTCTTGACAATTTGCAATGGTTTAATCGCCATATCTAAATACCTTCAAATAAAGATTAAAAAAATAAAATTACTAAATACATTTTTTCCAATTTTATTATACATTTCTTTAAATGTTTAGAAAATTATCACATTAAGTATTTTCACATGTGTAAGTATAAAAACCATTGGGTTCAATCAAGAAAATGTAATAATTTCCTACATAGATTCATACTGATGTATAATTTTATAATCAGACGGTATAAGGCCTAGTAATGAAATCGGTAGCAATAGACAAAATTTAAGAATTTTATAATTCAATATAATCAACACAATCAATCATTATAACTATTAAATTCTTTTATTATAAATGAAATCGATTTAGAAATGAGACTATATGAAAGCGAATAAATGTTGATGTATATCACAATTCTTTTGCAAATTGTTGTAATGAATCATAAAAACATTCGTAATCCGTTCGTAATATTCAATTTTTAAATAGTCAAAAGTTAAAAATAGCCACAGTTAAATCAAAGTAATTTTCTCTTGCAAATGCTAATAATAAGTCACAGATATTGTCACTTAAAATTAACGCATCACACGTATGAGTTATATTCTAAATAGTTATTTGACAAACACCGTGACATTTTTTTATCTGTCGTATTCAAATCTTATTTCTTCCAAAGTATGCAAAGTAAAGTGTGTCAAAATTTCAAATATTTAAGAAAAAATCTCAGCCAGTGATTGATATTTGATGTAATAAATTATACCAAGCTGGAAAGTTAAAAGTTCTCTTAGCCAAGAATTTATTGAAACGTATTTTGATAACCTTTTTTCTTACAGATACTATTGAGTATCGGCTTGATTATCGAATTGAGCAATTAACTCTTACCAGAACCTAGATAAACCTTTAAAGATCGTTTATCGCACCGTATATCTTTATCCCTGGCAATGACGTTGCGTAAGGTATTCTTGAATTCACCAATGGTGCAAAATTTTCTAGCTCCGGGCTCCTACAACACCTTATCTAAAACTTCCTCCCTTACCCTTCCTGGTATAATGCATCTTCTATAGTACCTGATATTCACGAAATGTGTGAAATGATTTTCATCGTTTTGTTCGTGAAGATCCATGATGGCAAGTAAACGCTCAAAGCTTGCAGTCAAGCACACATATTACTCTCGTAACCGCAGTCGAGAAAAATAAAAATAGTCGCGGTGAACTCAACTTGCCAGAACAGGCATTAGTCATATTGTCGCACAAAATCAGTCTCTTCATCGAGCTTCTATACTCGAGAACGGCAGCGTCGTGTAGTCGAATATGTATGCCGAAGTCTCACGTTGGAAACTCAAGATCCATGAATTGATATGAATTGAACCCT